ACAGCATAAGGACATCAATATGTATCAGTAAATGTAATAAAAATTTGGGGTGATTTTGGAGCCATTTATTGGATAAAACCATGGACTATAGCCTTGGGCATTTTTCAGATTTTTGGCGTTTTCTTACAATGGCCGTAACTTGAAAAATTGAAGTCGGAATCATTTCAAACTTTCTACACGGAACAAGGACATCAATATGTATCAGTAAATGTAATAAAAATTTGGGGTGATTTTGGAGCCATTTATTGGATAAAACCATGGACTATAGCCTTGGGCATTTTTCAGATTTTTGGCGTTTTCTTAAAATGGCCGTAACTTGAAAAATTGAAGTCAGAATCATTTCAAACTTTCTACACAGCATAAGGACATCAATATGTATCAGATAATGTAATAAAAATTTGGGGTGATTTTGAACCATTTTTTGGAAAAAACCATGGGCTATAATAGCCTTGGGTAATTTTCAGAATTTTGGCGTTTTCTTAAAATGGCCATAACTTAAAAAATTGAAGTTGGAATTACCTCAAACTTTCTACACAGCATAAGGACATCAATATGTATCAGATAATGTAATAAAAATTTGGGGTGATTTTGAACCATTTTTTGGAAAAAACCATGGGCTATAATAGCCTTGGGTAATTTTCAGAATTTTGGCCTTTTCTTAAAATGGCCATAACTTAAAAAATTGAAGTTGGAATTACCTCAAACTTTCTACACAGCATAAGGACATCAATATATATCAGAAAATGTAATAAAAATTTAGAGTGATTTCGGAGCCATTTTTTGGAAAAAACCATGGGCTATAGCCTTGGGTATTTTTCAGATACCCAATATATTTCTCAGTATCTCCAGTAGTGCTGGATCAGACACAAAGAAGAACCGAGGGATTTGTACATGTATATAGTTAGAGTGTAGACTGACCTATGAATAATAAACCCACCATACAATCATTAATGTACATGTACATGTTCATAGTAAAGTGCTGTAAATGTACATTTATAAAATCATCAAAAAATTTACAAAGAAATAAAGCTGCCATACATTAAAGTGCTGTACAAAATACAAATTATTTAAAGAGGAGGACATTACAACTTATACAGTATAGACCTACCATCTTCATCATAATTGCTCATGGTGCATCAATCCTGTTAGAAAACTCTAGCAGAAGGTTCCAAGTATCATTGGGTATTGCCAGTTTTTTTATAATGAGACTGAGAAAGAGAGAGATGAAATGTAACCTTTACATGTAATTACAAGTATTGTTTACTCTTAAAAATTCACACCACAAGTCCAAAAATTTGAAGTGACCAATAAAAATAAGAATCCAGTAGGCAATGGTCATCTCAAGATCTGTAGAGAAATAAAAAGCACAAAAGATTTTAATCAATTCATACAATATACATTAAACTATACATGTACATGTACTCTCAAATTTTAGTAGCATCACTTGCAAAATTCCCCCATCAACACGTGTACATTGAAATCATTGTGTGGCAAGTTTAGCAAACATGATCCTACATGTACATGTACATGTATAATATTATGTCACTAGCCTAGTCCTTTCAGCCTGAGTTTTTGGCAAAATTAAACGTAAACTGGTAGAAGTCCTTGAACTGTTGTGAGTCCTGTAACTCTCAATCAATGGTCTCACACCTTTTACGGAGTTTATAAATGGAATCACACCTAAAAAAGGGAGAGAGGGGAGAGACAGAGCCAAAGAGAAAGAATTATACATTTATTTGTAGAAAGAATGTGATTATGTTTTTATGCTTAAAGCAAAACTCATGGAATACAGTGATTAGAACATGTACAACATAATAGGAGAATGTTCATGTGCAATGAATGAGTCCATCAATACACCCACTGCATGTACTGTACCTTCCAAATGGAGAAGAGAACCTTCAAAAACCATCAACTGCTTCATCAAAGTAAGTATCACCTAAACACTAGTAATATGTACTAGCACAATGAGGATACAGTAACTAACCATTGGGATCAAACTCCCATATCTCTGAACTGACTTGCATGAATAGGAAGAATTGCAATGAGGCTGATCTAAACACAATCTACAGACATGTAAAATTGTAATTGTATATGTACATGTACATGTAAAAAAATAATGCCATGCATCAAACAGGTCTACAAAAGTAACAGTGTGTAATGTACATATGTACATACACACAAAAACAATCATAACTATTAATGAACCTCTCACACTGGTAGAGCCAGTCACCATGCACTCCACACTTGACAGTTTCCCCTTTAGTCCACAATCCACTGACTCTCAACAGCATACCAGCAAACAATAGCTTCCTTGATATGTACACTCCTTTATCAATCTGTGAGTCAATAAGAGTTAAGAGAATATATGTACAGTATATACCAGTGAATTGGTAAACCTCCACATGTATATTATAGTCATACATGTACGTAACACATGTACTTATGTTGTGTAAAAATTGTAAGTCTTAAATTTGATAAAATTTGAATTTGTTACAAATTATTTAAGTTGTTCAAAAATCAAGCCAAAGTCCCTGTACTAGAGTACAGGGCCATATGGCCAAATTTCACAAAAAATGAAAAAGTGAGAATTCTTTTTTTAATTACTTTTCCTGATGCATAATGTACACGTACTTATGTTGCGTAGAAAATTTAAGTGAAATCTGATAAAATTTATGCTCATGACTCGCTTTAAATCTGAATTCAACCAAATCAAGTGTCACTTCATCTTTATCCACTCTCCTAATACACACTTCCCTCAGTCCACTGAGATTGAAGGCATGAGCTACCTCTCCACTGATACTAAGAGGACCACCTAAAAATAAAAGGACACTTAATTCGGCACAATTTTTGAGCAACTTTAAAAATTCGTAAAAAATCCAAATTTGATCAGAATAAGCTCAAACTTTCTACATAACAAAATAGAGAATTATAAAATTATAAAAATAGAGAATTCCTTCTTTGTGATTTTTTGGCTAAATACCCTGTACTAAAGTACTGGGACAAGAGCCTGAGGATGCATGAGGACTATGCCAATATCCTGTGGGAAACTGTCATAAATGGCAGATCAATTTGAGCAATATTCAGGCACAATGTCTAAACATTGTTTGAATGTAATTCAGGCTCCGCATGCACACGTTACAAAATGAAAAAATCAAAAACAAACAAAACCATAACTTGATACACTTCAAAAAATCTAAAAAAAACTAATCTCACCTTTAGCCTGTACATCTGCAGGAATCTTACTCACTTCCAGTAAAAGATTTCAGTCCGGCATTACAATTAATACAATTAGCCTCTTCAGTAAATTCTATTCCACTAGGTCTTCTTCTACAATGTATAAACATGTCACAACATTTTATAAACAATGATACGTATCACAAAATTTCTAGGATGAGTTTTAGCCTTAAAACTTTAGATTCTGATTAGTATTTGCTGGACATAAAGTCCGCCATTTTTAATTTGTGCACTTTACACCACGCCTACATAACATCATAAAATTAACTCTCTTTGTTTACTCAATTTAACTAAAGCTTTTTTGGAGGACGAGACTAGGTTTTTTCCTACTCTTTTCTCCTCCTTTCTTCCTCCTGTCATAATGAATAGTAACTCCAAGAGTGATACGTTTTATCCAGCCAGACATGGAAGCTTTAGCCAGGCTCAACCAAACCTCTACAATCCTTTCATGGAGCCGGGACTCATCAGTACCCGGCTCAGACATAGTCAGGCGTGGCCTGACCCTTGCGAAAACGGAGGGTCAGGAACCTCGTATATACCAGTCTTGTTTTCAACTACTATGGCTTCGGGTGGAGCTGCAGCTGCTGTAGCAGCCTATGTCATCATAATGAATAATTAATAGCTAATTATTGTTTAATAATAAAAACAAAAATAATTATAATTATACCATAAAGAAGCAATGACGACTTATAAGACTGTCAGCTGTGGAAGCAATATCACTTCCCAGGCTAACAATCGTTACAGTTCGTTTAGCAGATCTAATTTGGTGTTTTCAACATGGAGAGAACTGAGGCGGCATATATGGCCAGGTTTGAGGAGCTTCCTATAGATGAGACTTCTGATGACATCCTATATAACTGCTCTGATGAATTTATAGTATCTGGAAGAATATGCAAATGCAGAGAAAGGATACCAAGAAGACTAGCTAGAGCACCAACATCCATTTTCAATTAATATTAATGATTATTAAAGTTACATAGTCATAGCAAGTCACAATGCGTCACTGCAGAATTTCTGCAGCAGCTAACAAGACTGGTATATACGAGGTTCCTGACCCTCCGTTTTCGCAAGGGTCAGGCCACGCCTGACTATGTCTGAGCCGGGTACTGATGAGTCCCGGCTCCATG